GGAAAACTAGAAAGCTGAAATTTTAAGGGGGTGTTTTCTGCCAGTTCTGGCGGCCAGTCTTAATTTTTTTAACTAGAAGCATTTGCCGAAAAAACCGATGCCGGTAGCGAAAAAAACTTCGGGGAACTATGCAAAAACGCGGGGCACCCTGTGCGTTAGTCAATTATTTTTAATAGTGCGCTGCAAGCAGATAAATGCTGTTACTTTAAACTTGGTTCCCGTCCCTCACTGGGAAAGCAAAGAAAACATAGTGTTCAAGAACCGGTTGAATCACCAGTTATCGTCAAAAAATCGGTGTTCGATGGTGTATGTATGCACTGCACCTTTATCGGTTCGAAATGGCCTGGAAGGACAATGCACTGAGTGACTGGGAAAGAACAGTACGCCGAAGGGATGTGCAAGTGAGAAAAGGGATTAAAAGATTTTTACAACAAAAAACTCGTCACTCAGTAACACAATGCAATCCGTTCTGTAAACGAAAGATGAACCGTCTTGGGACGGCTTTTGACGGAATGGAAGCGAATCTGCTAGGAAGTATGTGTGTGGCAACAGACGTCGCAGGCAGCGATGATTCGTCCGAAACTCAAACTGAAGTCGCAAAAGCAATTGAAATAAAGCGAAAGTCTATTGGTTGTGCAAACTTCGTCATTCCGCACTTTGAAAATTTCTGTCAAAAGTTGTTTGTGTATTATCTGCAGTAGGCATGAAACTCAGCAACGCTTGTCCAAAATTTCAGCACGCATCATCGTATTTGTCGTCATATCGTAGATTCGTAAAATCCAGACAGGCTGCGACAGCTGTGGACATGCGATATTAAGCTACCGACTCTTCCATGTAATTTTATGACCTGTTATGCAGGGCACGGCGAGTACTGCTATGCAGTACAATGATGTTCTAGTCTCCCAAAATTTCGAATGAGCAGCAAGATTATTCGGCAGCTAGAGCATCAGTCCAAATTTAGACGTGTAGTGAAATTCAGTGAGCAGTAAGTTTTTAGAGCAATGTTTAAAATATTTCCCTCCGAACAGGCTGCTTGTTCATAGTTTCGTCTGGTTTTAAACTAAAAGTTTGCTAAATTTTGATACTAAAGCCAAATGTCATGATACTGAGTAATGATGAAACAGATATTAATCATGACATATGAAAATATAAAATTAGGTTAAAAATCTGGACGAGCAGAAATATTTTGGCCCATCAATTCGTAGATATTCCTATTCAGCACCAAAACTGGACTTCGTCAGCACGACAGTTGTGGCGTCCACAAGATAAACAAATAAAAAGAAATTTATACGAACAAGAGGATTGGTTATAATTTTAAAGGGCAAAAAGAGGACTAATTCAAAAAATACTGGAAAAAAGGCACGAAGAAGAAGCGAGTGGATGACGGACGTTTAACTTGAAAAATGTAAATTATTAGTGTTGGTTTCAAATATCTGTAAACAAGGACAACAAATAATTTTCTAACTTCCAATATCTAAAATAAACAAACATAAAAATTTTTTGTAAATGAATTACATTGTAAGATCTGTGTAAAGAGTTGACAACAAGTCTGTGGAGCCAAGCACACGGTTAGTAAATGTGTTTTCAGAATTCCTATTTTGAATATTTAGTCAAACATTCGCAAGGGATCGTGCGCACACGGATCGCTCAGATCTTCGTCACATTTTCTTAGTTTATACAGAAATTCATCGGAGTAAAATGTAGAAATTTAAAAAAAAGGCAACTTACAGACTAAATTCAGGCATCGAACCATCGGGACATTTGACGGTCGGCCGAGCTGTTGGCCACTTCAGCTTTTTGTTGGAATGCTGCAGCACAGTGTTACAGTTCGCTTCGTCAACATTATCGGTGCAGTCGCGCTGACCATTGCAAATGACGATCCGTGGCAAGCAAAAGTTATCATTCTGACAGAGATACTCGTCCGATGCACATTCGACCACTGAAGGGAGAAATATTTTATTGGTACACCTTGATAAACGAGATTTCTTTCCATACCTTACTAGTTCAAGATTAGCAAAAGCACATACTCATATTTTTAGGCTTAGTTTTCCGTTTTCTTAATTTGTTCGCTGCTTGTTCTAAGTTGCGATTGTATCATGTAAACTGAAGTTATATCGCTTTCTTCCTAATTGCCACACTGCAGCAGTTAAAATTACCAACGCCACTTAAACAATAAGAGTGGAGACTTGTTAGAGCGAAATACTGAAACGCAAGTCTTATCTTTTTATCTGATTCTTCAAAATGCGGTTAAATCAAGCTATTGCTGCTGTAGACGGTTCTTGGACAAGAAAGTCTTACTGCCTCAAATACAATAACGTTCGGTTGAATAGGCGTAAGAAAAGAAATAATTTTTGGACAATTAACTCAATTATCTCAATGATAAACACAGCTCACCACTACAGTTGTTCCCGCTGAAGCACTGCTTCTTGACCACTGCATCTGCCCTGGCGCCTGTGGATACGACGATATTGATTGTCTTTCTGGTACCGTCAATGTCGATTTCATAGCTTCCAGTGTTATCACTGGTGATATTATCGATAAGCAGGTAATGCTTCATTGCGCTGTTATAAAATCGCACCACTGGAGAACCTGGTGTGCTATCATACTTCACTGGTGCACCGTTATGAAACCACTGCGCCTGAAAAACTTCTGCTAAAAAACCTCATAATGAAGTTTGAAGTTTAATGTACTTTTATATAAATTAAAAATATGTATGCGCATAACAAAACTGGAATCAATTTCTAATCCCCTTTATTCGGAGTGACCAAACAAGAAAGCAAAATCCGTTGGGCAAGGTATGTTCCACGCCTTGCTAGCAACCACTGAACATTGCTCATTAACGAATAGTACTCGCGAGGAAGCAAACGACCACTTGGGCGACTGCTAAAAAGGTTGCGCATATGGGCAGTGATTCTAACTGAAAGTGTGCAGCTCAAATTCGAAGGCGTGGCATAACTGCGCTCGGCTTGTTGGAGCATCCCAGTAACGTCAAGTGAAGACTAAAAAGAAGGAGCAAGCCAGGATGAGTTGGATTAGTAAAAGAGAAACCACAGAATAGGAATGTTTCGGCCCACCAAATGAAAACACGTACACGCAAAAGCATAATTCCACCACAGAACATTGCTTCTGAGAAGTTAAAAAAATTCTTTGGTAGTGTTCTTTGTGGTGGTGGATTTGCTTTTCCGAATTTTTCGGGCGCACACTTTTAAAAGTTCACTGTTAATAACGCTGTATACCGAGCACTAATAGGGGTTTCTAGTAATCAACATCAGCGCTACACTTATGATGAGTACAGGAAATTAGGTTATGACCAGGTTAGAGTTTTCAACCTACCTTCATACAAAAGCTGCCGCTTCGAATGTTTTTCGGGAATTAACGAAGGAATAAAGTCCTAACCACGCTTTTACAAGCTATCCTTCTTTACAGAAACGGATAATTTTTTTTACTATTTTCCAAGCAAACATGCTTTGTGGGACGGTGAAGCGGCACGTGCTGCAGCTGATATCCTAATTGAATCTCCAGGAAGTAGCACTGCATATGGTGACACCATCGATATTTCCATTGCTTTTCCTTTACATCTAGCTGCAATACCCAAAAAAAAAAATGAAGCTTTTTTTTCGCTCAGAAACGAGGCGTCGTTTCTGGTATACTTTTGCCTAATATGCAATTATTTCAGAGACGGAACAATCCGTTGAATCTTATTTGGCGGGCAAATAAATTTGTCAGCTCCTCATTAGCAGCGTTTTCGTAAAAACGCATTAAAAAAATCAATCGCGCCCATCTGCTGGTCCGCTGATTACTATTTTCAACCAGCAGCCCATTTTAAACCAAATTAAAACTGAGATAATTTTTCCAGGCCGCTTTACCCTCTTTCTAAGAAGCTTACTATTAGCCTATTTATATTAAGTTTGCATCGATATCAGCGAAACGATTCTCTTTCTCTGGATTTTTATTTTTCGCAAATTGGTTCTAATTGATACGATGTCGCGCATAGTTATTAAATATCATTAGTTAATGTTTGATTTACTCAACCTCATCGTATATGAGTTTCAGCCAAAGGCCGACTTATAAACCGGTTCTTGAAAATTCCTCTAAGTCAAGGCAAGCTAGCTCCCTCTTTCTTTGTTAAATTTTCTTCATCTTATCAAAACCAGCCTTACTGTGACACTATCCAAGTATTTATGAAGCCACTGAACAGAAAAATGAGTGGTTCAAACGGAGAATGCCAATTTAGTTTTAATTTTGATATTTATGGCATAATGTCCTTTTTTCCCAAAATTGATTAAAAATTTAATTAAAATTTAATTTCAGTTTTACACGGGAACAATCGCCTTTGCTTCGAATCACCACTGGTTTTATTAATTCAAAAAAATTTATTTTGGCATCCTAATTTTCTTTCAATTTTTGCAAATGTTGCAAATTTTATAGGAACAATAAATATTTTTTTTCAAGAATCACTCCGGATCCTATACCCTCCCCATTCATTCGTTTTCCATTAGATATTGGCATCTATCGTACAGCAAAATAAGGCAGTAAAAAAATCTGCATAATTTCCGTCCAGAAACATATGCGTTGCATCCGTCTTGCCCCGGCTTAGCCTCGCTTCTTTGTCTTTTCCCTTGGTCCTGCTGCTGTGCGTGCCGGACATTCTTCGTATCATTCATTCATTGTCACTATCCGTTGTAAGCAAGCGAAATAATTCACCGTAATGGGTGTCTTCATCGCTGCCATCAGAACACTGTTTCACACCGTCGCACCGCTTACTGCTATCAATGCAGGATGAGCGATCGCGGCATTCGAATTGCGAGCTTGAGCAGCCCGCTGTTGCTGTTACTGGCTCTAAACATGCGCTTGTTTATTTGATTATTGATAACGAATCACTCAGACAATCATATTTACTAGCAAACTGATGCGTCCTGAGGCCCCTCAAATTTTTCTGATAAATTACTAATGTTTCCTCCCTTTCTAGTTTTTCTTTATCTCTCAGGCTGATACAAAAACTTCTTGAGGCTCTTTTTCTCAGGACATTTTTAGTTCCAGACTGAAAAGAAAGCTTGTTTTGATCCGTTTACTAGCAGAAGTTCAATGATCGCTAAGTGCATCGGATATCAAAACCAAGCCGCAATTCAGGGTTAGGAAGCTCATCTCAATTTCTAGTTCTCGAATAGATTTGTTCCTGTTTCTGGTACTTTGTGTCGCAATTTTAAATAAATTAAGCAAGTACTATTGGAAGTACAAGTTACCACACTGCTATCCTTAAAATTCGGTGTCAGATCTGGTCGATCAGTAACTAAATATGCTTTATGGAGATTTCTGAGCGTTCGAAATCATTAGGAGCTAGCGCTCTCCCTTTCATAATTGCTTGCAGTTGGCATCAGGATGGCATATAATTATAATCGGGCAGCATCATAACTGCTCATAAAATGGGCTCGTTAGCCAGAAACTGTGGCAACAGCCTGATGACGAAAGAAATCTGATGTGATATTTGGATATCAAAGAGGCTATTTAAGGAAGAACTCTACCCAAAAGCAATGGAACCAACACAGAAGAATCGAAGTACAACCGTTGTAGAGTAGAATATCAAGCCGCGTATACTAGTACTTAAGAAAACTTGTTAACAAAACCGTTTCAGTTAAATTATGACTGGAAGATAAACACAAAAATTTAAACAAAGCGGCGGAAGCACTTTGTTCGGTTCGGTCCCTTCCACTATTTACGCTTCTCCAGCGTTATTTTTTTTCGCGCGAAATGGATCTGCCTCTGCAAATTTTTCTTCGTCTCTGAGCAATCACCTGGCCGAGGTGAAAAAAAGGAATCTGATGGACTCCAGTGATTCAACAAAACCAGGACGGTCATAAGTAAAAAAGACAGGCACATCCTGTACAGCTTCGACATTTTTTGTCACAATCATGTGAAAATTATCCTGAATAGGTTCATGATGGAATGCTTAATTAGGATTTAGCACATCAAAAGATTAGTTAAATGATCTGGAATAATCAGAAGTCTTTCCTACAGGAAGTACAGCAGAGCTGTCTGAAACTTCGAAATCCCAAACCGATCTGGCAAGGGGTTAACAAATCCTAACTGCTTTTGGTAGATAAGTCTGAAACGTAGCATAGTGAGGAGGAAATCTGTTTGGGAAGCAAATAATAAACTTCGGTTTATTTTGAATAAACACTATTTTGACGCCTTTGTTTATACCGTAATTGAGCGATTTGATGATTTATATTTTGCTAGGATGTTGATCAACTAGTAAAAAATTTTCCCCTCGTTTTTGAAAAAAAAAGAAGTCGAATTTGCCTTCCCTTTTGAATATGAATTCTCGAAAAAATACTGGCTATTCCATCATTTAGGCACTGGAAAAATATCAACTGATGAAGGAAGGAAAAAACGCGTTAAGTGTTCTGAGGTATAAAGTAACTGGAAGTATTCAGTTAGCAGAAATAGTTTTTTTGCGGAAGCAAGAGTGTTGAAAGCATTTTTCATCCAGGTTATGCAATTTTCGAACTAAGCGAACATTTTGGTACTACTGACATTAGCATTTTCACGGAAAATGCTGAAATCTTTTTTCCTACTTTGAACTGTTCAATTTGCGCTACTGTTTTTCATTCGTAAGGCAGGTCAAAAATAATTACTCCGGAATTCACATGACCGAACTGTATTGTGCTCCCATTGCATTCAAAATTTTCACTATTTGTTCAGGGATAAAAAAATTTACATAAACTTATTAGTTGAATAAAGTGTGTACAATATGATATCGTTGACTATAGTACAATATTTATCTATTAAGTGATGATGGAAACTAAAGGATAGGTGTAGTGACCACGGATCAGCAATCTCCTGGGCCATCAAAATGCCCATTGCTTTGTGTTTTGCGGAAAAGAATTTGTTAATGACCATTTATTGTATAGTATTCGAAGCCATCGGTTCCAACTGCAAATCTCCCGATGTGACCCGATCGGACAGCTCTCTTGATAAGTCTCCAGATGGTCGGCTCAGTCCTTCTCGATGTTATTTCGACAGTTACTAATGTGCCGAGCACTTGCTGGTACCTGTGTTTAACTCATTTTCAAACAATACTTTACTGTACACGTGGTCGCAAAAATTTGCTAAGTCTTTTTGCAAGTCAGAAATACGAGTTTTGCCTAAAAGAATCCAAAAAGCGATCAAGAAAATTCCGAATAGTTTTTTATTGCTATTTTGCCTTTTGGTACAAAAAATTCCTTATGTTTTTACATTGGCATAAAAGGTGATTTGCTTTCAAAATTTCAAGTTTTATTTCTCCGCAAAAACTGAGACGAACTGAAGAAATAAACGAGGATAACACGGTACAGGATAGTTTAGTTTATGAAAAATGCAGACGGCAGAGGAAAAACGAACGACCTGTAGTCTCGGACGGTAACATTGTGATGACTTGGAATTGAGGAAAGGAGAGTATTAAGAGCATCGGATATCTCTTGGCTCAGCTTTACGAACTGTGCCGATCCGGGTCGTTTCAGCTCATTTGAGTACGGTAAATTGGGAAAATTAATCGTAAATCTGTACACAGTAAACAATGTGGTGGCGGTGAATAATGATGGCAGTAGCATTACTGGTGATGATGGTGGCAGTTAAGCTGTTTCCATAAAATCCTTTCCAGAAAATCTTCGAGAACTAATTAGCTGGCACCAGGCAGGAAGCTTTGCTCACGTCTCAGGACGCAACCAAAACAGCAAAATGCAAGCAGCTAGCACTAGCTGAGTGGCTAAATGCCGTTTGCAGTGGGTGGAAAGGATTTGAGGGAGGCGTGGCTGGCTACAACAATCCGAACACCTTTTTGACTTTGTCTGAGATGCGAGCAAGACAGTAATAGTACTAGCAGTAGTAGTAGTAATACTAATGATGATGAATGCGACAGGGTCGTTGATGATGATAGCGCCCCTTCGAGCTAGGTGGTTAATGGTACAGGAAGAGGAGGAGCGGTTGGTTCTAACTCCTCCTTGTGCAGCTTGCTTCTCTGGAAGGCAGGGGTGTGACCGGCTCTCACTTTTATAGATGCAAATGTGAGTACAGTTGCTCCCGGCCTCCCGCGCTATTTTTTATTTTTCATGTTTACTCAGCATTGATGCGAGAAAAAGTAGGTAGCTGGATAGCTGGCGGCGTCTGACCGATCGGAGCATCGCTCCGGAAGAGAAAAAGCTCAAGCACGCATAGCATCAATGCATTTCCGCTTCATACATTACTTTTTCACCGCCCAGTTTTAAAGCAATCAGGAAAATCGCTGGCTACTAAAATACTGAAGATATACAGTCCTTACACAAAAAGCATAAGAAAATTGAAAGCTCAGAAAGAGCCAAGTTAACTTAGCTGCTCGAAAAGAATTTGATACGTGCGCGGAAACCTACTCGAATCAGCGCGTATCCAACAGTCATTCCAAAACTCCTGTCGCTACAGGAAATTTACAAAACATTACAAACCTAGCTGCACGTGGTATTCAATTCTACTCTGCGGCTCGCTCTCCTTTTCATCGTCATCCAGTAAAACAATTTGATCGCCAGTAAAGTTATTGAATACGAATTCGCTATAATTTGCTGCTGTGCCCAACTGGTCATCGCCATAGGCAGCTTTCGCAAAGAGTAACAGAAAGAGGAATATACAAATGCTTGCCGGGTTTGCGGAATGAGGACTGCACATTGCATGTATGTGACATAGATGAACTGACTAACAGGACAGGCGTCTCTGTTCAGGTGGACCGGACCATCTTAAACTTCTTCACCACATTCTTGAGCGAGAGCGGTCCTACCCGGCCTCCTCTCCTCATCCCTTGTGGCGTTTCCATATCCAATTATGACATATCATCCAATTCCTGCCGCCGCGTAGTTATGCTTCCCGATGGTTATCATCATCATCATCACCACCACCACCGTCCCATTATCACTAACTGATTATCGTAGGTGTCGTCAATATCGCTTTGGTAACCTTTTATTGGTAGGGTTTGATACGGAGTTAATACCCTTGTCTGGAATACTATCAACTTCTGGTGTGCACCACTGCTCTACTCTTTTTACTGTTTATAAAAATCGTCATCGCAACAGTGTCTGTTTTGTTTTTTTCCGAACGAAACAGTGTACAATAATGGATAGGACTATCATACACTTACCACCCACAGTTTTGGATCAGTCAGTGAAAAACATCACAGCTCAGCAACTAACGATAATCAACACAGTATCTGTATCACAGGCGCAGATCAGGAATTGCTCGATTTTTTTCCCCGTTCCTCGGCGGAGTCATCACTAGCGGCAATATCATAAGCTTGCTTAATATCTTTCAGCTCTGGCAACACTTCTCTCTTTAGAAAGCTTATCACTGCATCCACTTTGGCTTTCAGCGTCGGAACAGCATCCTGAAAAAGACGGTTCTCGCGACAGTTTTGAATATGGCAGACACACTATTTCTCTTAGTGTCTCTCTCAAATCTTGAGAATTAGTCATTTCCGGACTTACACTTTCGTGCAGCCTCACATTTTCAATACACAAAACCAGATTTGCTGGATTAAAAATATTTGCATGCAAACTTTTTTATATTCTGCCGATGAGTAACGCCACTGAAAGCCGTCTGAGACGAAAATATAATCAGCGTCATCGTCTATAAAAACAAACAGTTCATAGCGTTCGTATGCGGTGCACGGAACGATCGAACAAACAACTATTTTTATGCTTTTTATGCGTTCTTGCAAAAATTGGCAGATGAGAAGATCGTGTCTCTGTGTATTAGCGTTGTCTAAACATATGAGTCTGCCGATTTACAGCTCTAAAAGCTCGAGAGCTGAGTCTTTGAGAGCGGACAGTTACGAGTAAACAAACTTAAACTTCTAAGTCTCTTTACTCTGATTTAAAATCCAGGTTCTGACTCGAACTGAACTTTTTCACTAAGTACTTTCAAAAATCAATTTTTTAAGATGCCTTTCTGCTGTCATTACTCTTCTCCAAAATACAAAAATTTTATTCTACCAAATGCGTATCGATGTTTCTGGAAATTTCACCGAATAATGATGCCCAATGAATAGACAGATGTTAATTGTCAAACACTACTTTGTCTTGACTCACTGACTACACGATCAAATTTCATAAAATTTTACGATTTCAAAACTAGGCCGCCTTTGTAAGCGAGATTTTTCGTTTTAGCGTGCCACAAGATGCGTGGTGGATGGCATCAAACTGCTTTTAAAATCCACTGCACCTCTTGTAAATAATCTGTAATTACAAAATTATATTACACTTTTTTTAAGCCTATGATTCAGGAGTGCAGCCGCATTCCTGAATGTTTACATTTTGGAATATTTTTATACTTTCCCTTTTTATTCCCCAAAAACCGTTCCCGCCTTCTACTATCTTTCCTTCTAGCTCCCCCTTACCCCATTCCGTTTTCCTTACATTCCAAAATTTCTCCAAAACCGTTACATCACCTTATGGGATGGGGCGGTAGGCCATCTATCATAAACTGCCTATTCTTTTCATCGGGACCTTCCGATTCTACAAGCGACAGACTCGACTCCAGCACCATTGTCATCTTATCATGTTCGACTTGGCCGTCCTGGGAAGATCACTGATGCCTACAAACACGATCCCGTCTCCTTCGCTCGAGGGCTATTCGTAATCGCTATCTCGGGGCATGCTACCAAAATTCCTATTATTCGCTTGTTTAGTATTTGACATCTCTTGCTTGACAAACCATCAAGATCTTCAGATCCCAAGCACCATATCCCGCACTGTTTTTTTGATATCTTCATGTCTCATTGCAAGTAATCCATATATATATATATATATATATATATATATATATATAACTTCGTTTGCGCGTACAGTCAATGCACCACACCACGATATGACGCACTACACAAATAATTGCCTCAGCTCATAAGAACGTTTACTCTCTGCGCAGTGCTTGTATCAAGTTAAACAGAGATATCAAAACACAAAGCGGAGCATCCTACATAATAAATCTTAAACAGCTATCAGCGTCTTATGGTGGGGTCATCTGTTTTTTTGTGGTTTCAAGCAGCAGTAAATTCATTAATTCATTACTTCACAGTTTGGCGTGCACTCATGCTGCATATATTTTTGTTGGTCATTTCTTCTAGTTAGGAGAAAGCGTCGGCCAGGCCGACGGTGTTACATTGTGGCATTCTGTGAAATTTCAGCTCTCTAAAATAATATCTAATTGTCATATGAAAGGGAAAGATGCCCGCAGTTTAGCAAATGGAGTTTTAATGTAACCGCATAAGCGTAGGTTAAAATCCATCTTCCGTTGCAGTTTGCATATGAACAGCAAAGATGCAGTGCAGTTTAAGTCAGATGAAGTTAGAGTGGTAGAAGTGAAAGGGTGAGAGGCAGGGGAATATACTCCGATTTTGTTATCTAAAATTTACCATGTTGTGCGTGAAATACAGGCACACGTGAGAGCTGACCTTTTGTCGTTTGGAACCCAGGTACTCAACATTTGACGCTTACAAACGCGATGCAGAGGCGCATTAGTTATTTCACACTTACGTGCCGCACACGAACAGCAGACATCTTAATTAATATGAAGCTTTTTGCTCACTCTGGTTTTTAAGTTAAAAGGACGCCAACAAAATCCCAACTTGAGCTTTCGCCTGCACGTGTGGAAGATGACGCTGGAAGTTGAATTTAATAATCCTAGGTTTAATATTGACAGAGACAATCCTCGTAAAATTTCAGCTCCGTAGCTTGACCGATTTTCGAAATCGCTCATCGGCAACTATTTTTCATTTTAGATTTCGGGCTTGCAATAAGTAGGTATACGCAGGAATTGATTTTGTCTATCTCATTTTCCGAAGGAACCAACATAAAAATTCTCCTAACAACAAGGTGTTGACCGGTTTTAGATGTCACTGATGTATTCTGGGCATCGTCACCTAGTGCTGAATGCTGATCCTTTTTGCGATTAGCTAATGCGAATTCACTACGCTGAACTTTTTTTATGGGTGTGCAACGCAGTAGCTAGAATAGCAAAACAGCTGTTAGCCAACTTTCTTGCTCACCTGAAAGCAAGTCAAATAAGACTTCTTTTTTAATATCCCGGCGGTGATGAGTGCAAAATTTTTTCTGGACAGTTAACTTACTGCGCTGTGGAATTATAGTGCAGGAATTTGATAAATCTGAGAAAACTTGCATAAATTTCTAGGCGTTCATATGCGAAGCTCAAGTGTTAATGAACGTTGATATCAAGCTATTTGGATCGTACATGTGGCTAAGGACACCAGTTTGAAATTTCAGCTTTCTAGCTTTTGTGATTGTTGAGTTGAAAGCGGGTGACAAAATTTGAACACACAGACACACACATTCACTCGCTCACACACTGACAACCTTTCGGCAATGTGCATTTTGCACTTGCAAAAGTGTGCAAAAACACATAACAAGTGTTACGATCTCACGTTTGCATGCATCAAATTTGCATTTCTTCAGAAAATTTTTTTTGAACGCAGCGGAAACTGGGAAACCGTTATTTTTTTTTGAAGGTCGGCATCTTGAAATCAACTTTCAGACTCTATTGCACTTTAGAGTGCAGATCCAAAATCTGACTTATTTGA